ATTCAGTGATGACAACAATGACTATATCCTTTCTTTAGTGGACCTTTGCTATGTGTCAGGAGTTTTGCTCAGTTTTATACACATTTTCTCATTTAATATACATAATAAACCCAACAAAGAAATATAATATGCAAAAATGAGGAAACTGAGGCAAGAAGGTTAAATAGCCTGCACAAGCTCACATAACTATTAGCAGCAAACTAAATTCACTACACACCTCGTGGACTGACACTTAGAGCTTGCATCTGGAATCCTCAAATCCAAATTATGTGGCATTCATTTACAAGCCCTTCTTTCTCATATCTTTGAAGATATTGATTGTAATTGGTCAGGGGTTTCTTCAACACAGAAACCACTTAGACCTCTAACTGATATTTGCATTGGGAAGGTAAGTGTTCTTTTTCCACGAATCACCTGTGAGTGCTTGAGAGATAAGCAGGATGGGTGCTAATACCCATTTTTCTCTAGGCTTTATGCTCTAAAGTGTTATTTCTATACATCATAAAGGATCCCATCTCTTCCTTTCTTCAACAAGGGTTTAACTTTACTTATGTCCCTTACTATATCTGCTTAGTTTAAATACTCACATGCTTTCATTATTTGTTACTTCTGCTTCCAGATTAGGAAGCTTGTTGAAGGCAAGCATTTGGTTTTTACTAAATTTAATAAAGTGTTTATTAGTACTGTGTTGATTAATGGCTATTGTTTTATTGTCCATGCAAAAAATTAAACCTTTAACTATACTTTAGCTTATGGAAATATCATGGAAATCAATTATGCCTTTCAGACATAGATCCCTTTTCTTCAACAACAAATAAAGCCTGACAAATATTAGCTTCACTAAAGAGATCACAAATTTCTTTTGTCTTAATTTTAAAAACACTTTTTGAATTTCAATTCTAGACAATGTATTATCTTGGTATTTTTTTACTCTTGGTTTTTCTCATTTAATGGACTCAGATCTGAGAATGAAAAAGAAAAATCAGCATTGTAATATATGGTAAATCAACATCTCATAGTAGGTTGATTTATTTTGGGCAAACACTTCCCTTTAAACAATGTTTTTGCTTAAAATTAGCATTGCAGTTTTGTAGCTACATAACTAAAAAGGACTTTAAAAAGCCAATTGAATAGTCAAAATATCTTGGTAGCTGGGTTTATAGAACAAAACACTAGAAGAGAGGAAGAACTATAGATGCTTCTGAGCGTCTGCATCTGTTGGAGTTTACGGGCAAACCATTTTAGCAAGAATGTCAGATTTTTGGGCCTTCTCATTAGACAATTTCTGGTTCTTAACAGATTTACTGAATTCATTCTGCTGAGGGAGATGAGCATAGGAGGCTCATGTATCAATTTGGTATCCTCAAAATCTGGATCTCTGGTACCTCCAGAAGGACTGAGGCTTTTGGAGGCATGTTGGGGAAAAGATTGAACACAGTAGTAAGAGAAATAGGCAAGAGGAAGTGACAAGAGGAGGCATAGTAAAAGCAAAGGAGGGAGGAAGAGAGAATGAGGAAAACCCAGCAAGACAGAGAAGAGAAAGAGGAAGTAGATGAGTAAGTGAGAAGTTTCCAGTACAGCGGCTTCCTGTACCTTTAGGATGTGAGCCCTGGAGCTCGCCGCTCTGGCTTGTTTTTGAATTGTCTCTCCCTAAGACCTGATCAGAGTCAACACGGGGACTGCCTGCCTTTCCTTAGGGTCAGACTTCTTATCAATCTTTATCAAGGCTTTATCACCAAAGGTGGTATTTTGTTTAACAGGACACTGAGAATCAGGTACCTATCAAGTTCCTGTAAGTATAGAAAGCTTCTGATTTAGGGTGGGATCCACCTTCTGTAGCTTTTGTCTCAGCAAAGGACAGAATGTGGAACCCCTAATTCCAAGTTCCGTATCTGTGTCTAGTCAGATCAATGCTTATTAGGCCCTTACGAGGTGTCAGCACTAGCAAGGTACTGGAAAGTTAAAGGTCAGTAAGACATTGTCCTTATCCACTGAGAGGGAGGAATTCAAAGAACTATGACAAGAAATTCAGTGTCATATGACTTATACAGTCATATGGTGCTGGAGGTTAGAAACATGTTGGAATGATTAGTTCAGTTGCTGGACCTTTAAATGTCACACAGGAAATTGCATTAGTTGAAAGAGAATGTAAGACACATTTTGTTGTCTGAGGAATCTTGGACCTTATAGCATGGATACTGGGAATTGTTGGAGGACTTTAGGCAGGAGAGTCAGATGAGCTATTTCGTGACAAGAGATCACTCTGATATCCACGCGGAGGGAGATGTTGAGGGACGTGAGACTAGCAGCAGGGAAACCAACTATTAGTCACCATACATCCCAGCTTTCCTGGAACAATTCAAATTTATCTTCCTTTCTCTAGTTTAATTATCAGTAATACCTCTTTGACTATGTGTCCCAGTTCGGATGATAAATTCTATGGTCACCCTACTAACTAGAAGTTTATTACAATGATCTGACTTCATCAGAGCTTGGTAAGTGAGAGGAGAGTTGCTGCCCCACAGTAACAACATGAATAGGTGCTCGACACCTATACAATCTCTTTAAAGCCAACCCTTACACAGGCCTGGGCTGGGATAAAAGAGATCCCAATGAAAATGTAGTATATCAGTAGAATGCTTAATATTACAAATACATAATGGCTGACTGGTTAACCATTCAGTGGTCTCACAGTTTGTCAGCTCAGATTGTACTTGCCTGAGAGCTGAAGGAAAGTCGTAAGCAACTGGGGAAGGAAGTAAGAAAGGTAACCCTTCATTGTGCAGGGGCATGAGGCCTTGCTCCTGTTCTTAAAAGGGACCTGAATTTTCATGGAAGGTTTTGATTCTTGTTTGAAGACAGCAGAAAGGTCCATGAAACCTTGTTAAAGTTTCATTAGTTTGGGGTCATTATAACCTTGGAAGTTGGTAAGTGTAGATACGGTAATTTAGTCAACTGAAAGAAGCAATTGTTCCTTTCCTGGCACATGTATTTAATCATGAGCTGTCACTCGGATCTCCTGTTGGATCTCAGAAAAGGTTACTTGGTGGCAATAATTGGGGAATATTTTTAAAAAGAATGAAATAACTAGACCCAGGAGGAAAGACTGCTGCTATCAGGAATATACTTAAGCAGGAAAAAAAGTGAATTAAGAGTAAATGAAAAGGGTGAGGAGCTGTCATTTCATTTACTTTAGATGTTTCTCCTCCCACTTTCTCATTTTATACCTAGGAAGTAGGCTTTTCTAATCCCACTGTTACCTTGTATTTGTATAGTGCTTATCTCCCAGAAGCTCACAGGTCTACCTCTGAATCCATGCCACTTTAGAAAGTATTGCTTAACAAAAAGGGGATACTCTTATTTAATCTGTCATATCAGTGTTCTGGAGGGAGCTTGTTGCTCGATTTGCCTCAGGCTGGTGCTTGCAGTGGGGGCACAAATGCCTGCAACAGCTCCACAGTTGCCTGGGCAAGAAAAAAATTGGATGGTTTTGCAACTAGGAGCCTGGCCTGCCATCATCCTTTTGCTTTCAACTGTGACTCAGGGAGATGTTTCTAATCTGCAGAGAATTACCCAGCTTGCTGATTTACTTTCATGGCTCCTGATAGCCCTGACATATTTCTTTGATTATCTCTCTATTTGTCCACAGGCAAGACAATCTGCTTGAATTTTTAATCTGGGACTACCCATCCCTCCCAGACCCTGCTCCAGGCCCGTCCCTACACTTGAGGACAGTCATGTGCAGAATTTCATTTCATCACGTTTACCGCCTCTGTTTTTTGCATCAGAGAAATAGAATTACATGAGAAAAATGTCCTCTAAGATGGAGAGAGATGGATTTGGAGATGGAAACACTTTAGTAGCTCCTTCAGAAATTTTTTTCAGCTTTATTATTCTTAATAAAAAATACATGCTTCCAAGGCATCCGTAATTCAGTGATAGCAAACTCAAATAATTGCCTCGGATTTACTGAAAGTTGGGTTCTTCACATTTTTCATTTAGCTAAAAATTGACTTTTTAGAAAACTGAAGTAGACTAAAGGTGATGCCAAGCTTCTGTGTAATTCTTGAAGCCGACAATATTCTTACTAGGCCCTCTTAAAATCTCTCAAGGAGCCATTCCTATTTCAATGCTTCCTCCTCCTTCTCTTCCTTTTTCTGCTTCTCTTTCCTGTTTCCCTCTTAGAGATTAGCCACGCCCCATGCTCATCCACTATTATGAAAATACTTCAGAATATAAACAAGGGTGCAAGGCACAGAATATTTCTTTTAATTTCTGACATAAAATTTTATTGCTTATTTTATAAATAATTTAAATTTGTCAATGCCATAGACTATCAGATAGGTTTATGAGGTGATTTTTTTTTGGACATACTGATATTAAAAATAATATTAGTAGTGTTGGTTTTTTCACTGAAGGACTCCTATGAAATTGGATTATCCTATGCACATGACATGCATTGTCCCTAATCCTCAGTGACCATAAAAGGAATCCAATGTGTGCTGTTGCCTCCCATAGAATAAGCTCAGGGAAGGTATGTTGTCAGTGCTTAAGTGTAAAGATAAAGCACACAGTTACAGAAACAATTACTAAAGTGCAATCATTGTTAATTCAAGTTAGAATACAATTATGTCATCAGTATTTGTTTAATTAATTTGATGTGAATTTTTATTTGAGAATCAGCTGAAAGGTGGTTTCCTCTTAGCATTATTGATATTTTTGTTGTATGTAAAACACACACATGCAAACTAAAAACAGACAAACTTTGTCCAGATCCCCAGCATTTACATTAAAAATACAAATTCAAAATATATATGTTATAATTGTTAGAGGGATTTGTTTCATAATGGGCTTGACTTTTTGTGCACTGTGTTGATTGACATTTTATAAAGGATGCTAGGGACATAAAAATAGCCTTTTCTGTCCTTCAGATTACAATGTCATCACACTCTGATTAGAAGGAAATTAGTTAATAAGCCCCTTTTTATTGTTTATTCTAGGACTTAAGAAGGATCCCTAAAACACCATTGCACAGTAATGCAGCTATTACAATGATCTACTTGGGAAAAAATGTGCACCTATCGTATGATCACACAGACTTCCGGGATGAAATAAAAGTTTATCAACAACACTGTGGTGGGGAAAACCTTTGTGTCTACAAAGGCAAACTACTTGAAAAAGGTACACACATAAAATGTGAATTTTTTTAATCACTTGAATTTGTTGCTATAGATAAGCTATTGTTTGTATAATATCAAAATTACTTCAATCACTATGAAATTATGCATTTCCAGGGACTTTTATAAACCAGCTGCCTAAAAGTAATTCTAGATTTACTGCTCCATGATTGAAACTGAAGCAGCAATTACTCTTGCAGATTGTGGAAGAAAGAATTTGGAGTGATTTAATCTGGTAACAGATTAATTTTGGGGATAGAGATAAATGATCATTAAAATGTGCACAAATAGACTGTGCCCAAATTAACAAGTTAACTATTTGGCTTGTCATAGTGAATTTTATCATACATCATTCTAAGAAAAAAGTAGCAATTTGTTTTTTATTTATTTTTATTTATTTTTTATTAATATACACTCTTATGAAGGTCTCACATGAAAAACAATGTGGTTACTACATTCACCCATATTATCAATTCCCCCCCATGCCCCATTGTAGTCACTGTTCATCAGTGTAGCAAGATGCCACAGAGTCATTACTTTTCTTCTCTGTGCTACACTGTCTTCCCAGTGACCCACACCATACCATGTGTATGAATCCTAATACCCCTCAATCCCCTTCTACCTCCCTTCCCACCCACCCTCCCCAACCCTTTTTTAACTGCTAGTCCCTTCTTGGAGACTGTGAGTCTGCTGCTGTTTTGTTCTTTGAGTTTTGCTTCGTTGTTATACTCCACAAATGAGGGAAATCATTTGGTACTTGTCTTTCTCTGTCTGACTTATTTCACTGAGCATAATACCCTCTAGCTCCATCCATACTGTTGCAAATGGTAGGATTTGTTTTCTTCTTATGACTGAATAATATTCCATTGTGTACAGGTACCAGCTCTTATTTATCTATTCATCTTCTGATGGACACATAGGTTACTTCCATATCTTGGCTATTGTAAATAGTGCTGCAATAAACATAGGGGTGCATATGTCTTTTTGAATCTGAGAACTTGTTTTCTTTGGTGTAAATTCCTAGGAGTGGAATTCCTGAGTCAAATGGTATTTCTATTTTTAGTTTTTTGAGGAACCTCCATATTGCTTTCCACAATGGTTAAACTAATTTACATTCCCACCAACAGTGTAGGAGGGTTCCCCTTTCTCCACATCCTCTCCAGCATTTGTTGTTTCTAGCCTTTTCTATGTTGGCCATCTTAACTGGTGTGAGATGATATCTCACTGGGGCTTTAATTTGCATTTCTCTGATGATTAGCAGTGTGGAGCATCTTTTCATGTGCCTGTTGGCCATCTGAATTTCTTCTTTGGAGAATTGTCTGTTCATATCCTCCACCCATCTTTTAATAGGATTATTTGCTTTTTGGGTGTTGAAGTGTGTGAGTTCTTTATATATTTTGGATGTTAACCCCTTGTAAGATATGTTGTTTACAAATATATTCTTCCATACTGTACGAAGGCTTTTTGTTCTATTGATGATGTCCTTCGCTGTACAGAAGCTTTTTAGTTTGATGTAGTCCCATGTGTTCATTTTTGCTTTTGTTTCCCTTGCCCAAGGAGGTGTGTTCAGGAAAAAGTTGCTCATATTTATGTTCAAGAGATTTTTGCCTATGTTTTCTTCCAAGAGTTTTATGGTTTTGTGACTTACATTCAGGTCTTTGATCCATTTCGAGTTTAATTTTGTGTGTGGAGTTAGACAATAATCCAGTTGCATTCTCTTGCATGTAGCTGTCCAGTTTTGCTAACACCAGTTGTTGAAGAGGCTGTCATTTCCCCATTGTATGTCCATGGCTCCTTTATCATATATTAATTGAACATATATGCTTGTGTTTGTATCTGTGCTCTCTCTTGTGTTCTATGGCAATTTGTTTTTTAGAAAAATGTTGAGATAAAATCACAAATCCAATAAACTTTAGAGTGAAAATCATACCTAAATAATTTGGTACAGAATTTGGCTCAATGGATTTTAGTACATTTCTGCTTTCATTTGATCATAAATCCATGTTTGTTAGCATAAGATAATGTTTATATCCAATTAGTATTTCACATATTGTACTTGAAGTCGTGTTCATCAATATTATGTTCTGTGGAACAGCATTTAAAAGGAAGAGTTGTACAGGATTGTATTTATTGTTTCCTTGCTTCAGAAACTCTGTTCAGAAACTAATAGTGTTTTAAGTAATTAAAATAAATACTAATATTTGGGTAGTCTTGTTATAGATTTAGGGATTAAGGGAGGAGTTGGGGCAAGGACAGAATTGTTACTTTTGGCTTTTCTGATTTCCCTCATCAATCAAAAATAGTGACTATTAATTTAAAAAATTTAAAGTACTTAAAAAGAAACTATACACACTTAGGAGTTAAATGTTTGCTGCTTTCCAACCTATAAGAGAGTAAACATTGGAATGTTAGTTTTACTTTATAAATGTTTATAACATTTATTTATAAAACATAATGCTTAATAATGCTAGAAACTATTTTTTTTCATTTTATATACTTGACTGAAATGTAATTTACTTTGTCTCATTTTGTGATAGCTTTTGAGAGTTCGTTCCTTCCATTTTGTAGATGAGGAAAATGAGAGGAGTCCAGAGGTATAGTGTTACACATCCCCAAGTCGTGCATCCAGCTCTGGGTTGGGCCTGGGTCAAGAGCAGCTCCTGGAGCCCTAAATAGATACGGGACCCTTGCTCAGTACCCAGTACCCTCTAGACCCAGTTAGCTGTGCTCCACAGCAAAGGGTTTGTCTTACAATTTCATAATATGAATGGTATGAAACCCCTAATGATAGTGGCTTATTTTTTTAAAATATAACTTTCAACTATTAATTTAGATGAATTGCTGAAATTGACTCTAGTTTAAAATTGGAATTAACATAATGAAACTTTTCATGGGTGTTAGATCATGCTTTATTCAAGAAAATGTCTATCTGACTGCTGGAAAATGTAGTGCACACAAATGAAAAAAGAACAAGATTTAGCTGAAAGATTTTTGGGAAGATGATACACACTCTGTGAAGAGTGCAAAACCAAAGGTTATGGGAGAGGGTTACTTGGCCAAGTGTTATTTTGCATCTGTATTGATCCCGGCACTGACTTTTTGTTATGTCATTGGACAGGCTTGAGTAATAGGATGGAATGGGGACTTAAATAATTGAATCCTGTATGCACAATAATTTTGTCTCAGCTTGCCCTTGATTGTCAGAAAAGTAATTGTTCAAAATTGAAAAGTTGGGTGGCTCAGAGTTGACTTATGGTTCAGCAATCTTAGCAATTTAGCAACACTGAAAAGAATATGCCCTTTTTACAAATCAAAGCTGTTCATGATTCAGTGAAATGTGAATAGGCTTTTAGATTTCTGTTTTTTAAAAAAGGGGTGTTTAACGTTCTGCTTGGGGCAGCAAACTCATTAAAAATGTGGCATTTGTTAACTTGTCTTGCTTTTGGATGAGAAATAACAATAAAATCAATTATTTAGAAATGTGGCAAGTGCATCTTTTATTCCCATAGTCGTTCATGATGTCTCATGGTTTGATTTCAAACATCAAGGCACACACTGATTGTGTATTATATACACCTATGAAGTCACTGAATATTTCTGCTACTGTGAGGAGTACAGTTCTTCACAGACATTTTTATTTACCATGTTCATCCTTTCAAACAAGACAAACCTTGGCCTTCTAGGTTCATGTGGATATAGAGAACAAAGTAACATTTTTTCTGGCCCTGTTTATAACCCCTTCCCTTTCTCCCCCATTTTCCTCAGTTTCCATACCCTGATCCTGTTGTACCTATTTGTAAATTCCCCATTACTTCCCCACAAACACAGCTGTACCCTCTTGTCTTTCCTGTGCTATTTTCTTTGTCCGCAACAGGACAAAGGATTTTAAATTCAAAATAGGAATTTAAATTCAAATATTCAGATTAAGGCTGTGATGTGAAGCTTTCTCAGCTAACTTCTATTTTATTCCTCTCCATTGAAGGCTATGGCTCATAGTCTATACTTAAATCCAAAGCATTTCATTGTACTGTGCCCTATGTGAACTTTTTTATTTTTCTTTTATTCACCATATATTGACTTTTTAGTTTTTAAAAATAGCTTTATTAAGTTATAACTTACATTCCATAAAATTCATACATGGTACATGTACATTTCACTGATTTTTAGGAATTTTATAGGGGTGTGCAGTCATCACAAACCAGTTTTAGGGCATCTCCATCACTTCAAAAAGTTCCCTTGCGCCCATTTGCAACAAATCCTCTCTTTCATAGTCAGTGTCAGGCAACCACTGATTTGTTTTCAGTCTCTACAGACTTGCCTTTTCTGGACGTCTCATATAAATGAAATCGTATGATAGGCAGTGTTTTGTATCTTGCTTCTTTCACTTAGCATAATGTTTTTGAGAGTCATCCTTTGTAGTATCTATCAATAGTTGCTCTGTTCTTATGTCGCTGGATATATTCCATTACATGGATATACCATAATTTATCCGTCTCCAGTTGAATAACTGTGTCATTTCTACTTATGGGCTATTATAAATCATGCTATTATGAATATACAAAACAAGTTTTTGTGTAGACACCCTGTTGTTATTTCTCTGGAGTAGATTCCTAGGAAGGGTTTGATTTTTTTTTTTCCCCTCGAGTATGGGATGTACTTTCCTGCTGCTTTATATGTCTTTCGATTATTTTGTTGAAAATTAACATTTTAGATCATATATTTGAGCAACTGTGGATTCTGGATTCGACTTTTCCTTCTTGAAGGTTATTGTTCTTGCTGCTTTTTTTTTGTAGCTTGTTTGTTTAGTAATTTATCTGGAACAAATCTGTGAAATTCTTGCCCTCTCTCCTTGGTAAACAACTAGTGATGTCTCTGCTCAGATTTTTAAAAATTCTATTTTCATTTTTTAGGCTAGTCTCTTAAGGTTGTCTCTGCATTTTCATAGCTTATTGGTCATCCAGTGACTTGTCAGAGGTTGTGTTCAAATACTTTAGGCCAGTAAAGCCTCTTCTTTCTGCCAATGGATCTTTTGGTGGGTGTATTAGTTTCCTCGGAATGAAGTAATAAATGTCCCCACAATTGGTGGCTTAAAACAACAGAAATTTATTCTCTGAAGACCGAAAGTTCTGAGGTCAAAAAGTCTATAGGTCATAACAGGGCTATGTTCCCTCTAAAAGCTCTAAGGGAAAATCTATCCTTGCCTCTTCCTATTTCTGGTGATTCCCAGCAATCCTTGGTATTCCTTGGCTTATAGCTCCATCATTCCACTCACTGCTTCTGTCTTCACATGTGCTTCTTCTCTGTGTGTCTCTGTGTGTGTCCTCTCCTCTTCTTATCATTGGATTTAGGACAAAACAAATTCAGATGACTTCATCTTGATCCTTTACTAATTATATCTGCAAAGACCCTTTCTCCAAATAAAGTCACATTTTGAGGTTCTGGCAATATTCAGTATTCAACCCTCTATAATGGGTTCAAGAGTACATTTAAATTTCATGGAGTTTTCAAACCTGCTCCAACTTTCATTTTCCATCACACTCTCTTGTGTTTCCTGTTTATAGGTGCAAGCTCCTAGTTGGCCAGGAATATGCAAATAGATTGGGCCTACTCCAATCCATGTCACTTCCAGTTAAGTGGGATATGTACAGAGCTTATTGAATATGATTGCCTATTGCCTGTATCTTCCTGATAAATTTCTGGCTAGTCCATTGGCCTGTTGCTTGTCCTAATTAGAACTACAGTCTCAGGCTAGCAGAACATTTGATCTTCAATGTTTGCTTACCTACAAGATTGCTACTTATTACTGGTAATGGCACTGGCCAGGGTTTTTTGTCTTCTGCTCCAAATCTAGTCAGCCCCACTGACAGAGAAGCTGCTGGTTACTGATGGCCTGCCCTACCCTATTAGTATTACTCTGATGAAATAGTGGCAGGTGAGGGAGATGGGAAGAACCCCAGGCAAGAATGCTGTGCATTCCCGCTGTCATTCTCACCGGAGCATTCCCACTCTTAACAAGTTCAGTAATTTTTTCATGAATAACTGCTGCTCAGTTTAAGTCTGGTCCATCTTCAGAGACAAAATTTTAAGGAGAGAAGATTCGGTGATTTCACTCTAGAAGTCTGGTATGTTAGTTTTGTCTCTCTTGCTACATTGTAACTTCTTGAGGGAGGAGACCACATTTGATATTTAAAAAATTTTTTTGTCTCTCTTTAGTGCCTAAAACAATGCTACCCACTGTCAGTCAATAATGAGTAGGTCCATTTTTATAAATATTAAAGAATGCTTTCTAAGATTGTGCATTATACAATCTTTAAGACTGCTCCCTGAAATGGATAGATTGGGTTGCTTCCTCTAACCCACTCCCTTACTCACCCCACTGCCATTTTCATTTTATAGATGAGAATTTCAAAATCCACCACAGGTGAATGAATTATCAAGGGAGAGTCAATTAGTAAGTGAAGAACTGGGACACGGACAAAAATCTCCCAATTTCTGGTCTATACTTTTTCTATTACTCCATACAGAAACTATCAAGGCAGGGGTGGGAAGTGTTACTAAATTTTAAAATATAAAATTACAAAATAAATAACCAGGGAATAAAAGCCGACGGGGTCAATTCTCATTCAATAAGTTTGAAAGAAAAGTGAAAGAAATGAAGTACCAGATGGATGCAGGTCTAAATGGAAGGGCAGTCACATCTAAGGATGATCTCCTGCGCCCGTTCTCAGCATGCCCTCGGAGCACTCTCTCCTGGGTGGCCACTGAGGGATGATAGGGTGCACTGCTGCGGTGGAATGAATCACATCATATGAATATCTCACTCGAGTTTCTGTAATGAAAGCAGTCAAAGTGGCTTTCTAGTCACCACTTAAGGAGTCCCTGTATCATAAAGGCAGATGGATTTGTAATCTATTGTACTTAGTTTCCCAGACACTAGGTTACTCTTAATTTTTTTAGAATTCATATCATAAATGCTATGGTATAAGTGACAGAATTACCTTTTCAATAAATCTATTCTTTAGTACAAGTCATGTCTGATTTAGATTTTTTAGGGGCATAATGTGGTATAAGCAGAGTATTTATAAATGACTATGAAAGAAATAGGTGAAAATACTCACTAATTATGCATTGGAGGCCTGCTATGCTATGCCATTACCCTGGGGTCTGGGGAAATGAAGATGAGTAAAACCAGTTTCACTTCTCATGGATTCATTAATACGCAGGGCAGTAAACATCTAGATTAGGGTTCTCAAAGTGTGATCCCTGAACCAGCCACAGAAACATCACCTGGCAGCTTGATAGAAATACAAATTCTTGAGTGGCACCAAATTAGAAACTCTGGGGTGAGGCTCCATATTGTGTGTTTTAATAAGCCTTCCAGGTAATTCTTATGCACACTAAAGTTTGAAAATCGCTGGTGTAATCACACTTTAATATATTATAAAAAGTGCAATAAGAGGAAATGTATACACAGTAGAGACCTGAAAATTATTAATTTCATCATTGGTAGAATGGAAGAGTCCAGGGCAGCTTCTTTTGTAGGAAGTGACATGAGAAGTAGGTTTCTGAGTCACTCTGTAGAATAGGGTTTCTCAGACTTAGGGTTTGGACCCCTAGAGGGAAACTTTTCAAAGGGCATTACAAAGACTTGGAATGATTAAAAACTAGTCATTGCAAGCAGTGATTCTTAATTTATTGATGAGACCTTTGGGTGGGTGGGACAATAAGTAGGGGCCTAAGCCTGGCAGAATTGAGAACGGATTGGAGATGAATAATTTTGCCTCATCTATATTGATGTTTCAAGTCACAACTAAAGATACAAATTTATTTAAAAGTGTTACTGAACTCACACTAGCCTTTTGTTATGTACTTTATTAGTAGGTAACATAGCAAGAGAAAGGGATGGAATCTAAAGAGATGTTTGGATTCAAATGCTAACTCTCCCATTTAGTGTATGATCTTAGATAAATTACTGAATTTCTCTAAACCTTAACTTCTGCATATAGAAACTAGTAATAATAATATTCCCACTTAATGTGGTTGTTGAGAAATAACACAGTGAAGATAATTAGGTATAATGTCTGGCCACAGTAAGTGGTCATATATGTTAAGTATTATTGTTTTAATACAAATCACAGTTTTATGACTCCTTGGAGTAATTATTATAAATGAAAGTAATAGAGTGTGTTTTTATGATTAAAAACTGCCCTCAAGTTAAAAGGGTGATCTAGAGGATAATATTGTACTTCTCTAATAGAATAATGTGATTTTGACTATGTTAGTCCAAAGTCAGTTGCTTCACTAATGTATTTCTTTTTTTAATTCCAGAGACCTTTCAGTTTATTTCCAAAAGGCACCATGGTTTCCCCTTCAGTCTCACCTTTTTCCTGAATGGGATGCAGGTGAACAGGTTAAGTTCCTGCTGTGAATATAAGCATCGAAAAGGTTCCAGACTTGGAGGCAAACGAGGCTACTTTGGGCTTGTGTGTGTCGAGAGATCATCTCCTTGCTACAAGTATGCAAACAAATGTCCTCTGGTAGAGGGCAAGTTTTGCTACACTTTTTTTTCTTAAGCTTTTATCATATATTGCTCAGCACAATTTGTTAAGAAAGATATCAGTGCAGATGAGCCTAAAATAACTAAGCCAAAGTTTCTTTATTATAACCCTGTGAGTTTTGTTTGAAACTATAAGATATGAATTAGATTTCTAGATGTATAATGGAGAAAAGCTGATGGTGTTTCAAATTCTGTTTCTCTTTCTATCTCTCCCTTTTCTCATACTGTTTTAAGTTCTGTTTCTGAAGTGAAGGAGAGAGGGTTTTCTTCCTCCCCTTTCCTCTTAGTAACTAGTTTTGGGTGGAGCCCCAAAGCATGTGCCAAGCATCTGTCTTATATGGTTGGGTACTGTAGGTTATGCATATTAGAGGTGTGCTTGTGTTATGCTGTGGCCCAACTGTCATTCTCATGCCCCCAATTTCAGTCTCAGGTGTAACAAAAGCATGATAAAAGATCAGTTTAGACCATTGTTATCAGCTTTCATACTGAACATTGTGTTTGAAATGAGGAGACTTGTTTACAGGCTTTAATTTCTTCTGAAAGTACTCATGGGGAATTGATTGTGTACTCAGGTGGAATACAGGAATGGACCAATGAAAGTATCTACCCACACGGAGCCCTCTCTAATGGGGGAAGGGCAAATAACAGGCCAATAAACCAATTACTTTATGTCAGATAGCAGTAAGATGACACATACAGAAAAGGACAAGGGAGATATGGGGAATATAGGGGGACAGGGTCATAAAACAGTGTGATTTTATGTAACATGATGTCTTGCCAATGGGTTTCAGCCCCAGGCAAGTTCGCTGTGGATTCAATGTGACCAAAGAAATTGACAGCAAAATGTTCTTTGGGGTGAAAGGGTTTATTACCCTACTTGTTCTCCCAGTGGTAAGTCGAGCACTAGCGTCTCTGCCTCTGTCCAGAGCACTGGGCCGGCTCTCTATATAGCGCAATAATAGCTTATTGCCTAAGGGTGTGGAAGCAGTAGCTTAGCAACAGGCCGGTTACATCATCAGGTGGTTTGAATTCAGTGAGGATCGTGGCCATAGGAACTCCAATTTCTCCACACTCCACCCCTCCAGGATTCTCACCTTACAATCTACACACTTCCAATCTTCCGCAATGGTCCCTGTGCAAGAAAGCTGGAGCACTGTAACCAGATTCCACAATAGCAACAGAGGATAACAACAACTTAGAGGTAATAAAAATTAAGATACAGCAAGATTTTGATACAGGTAACAAAAAACTATAATAATCCTAAAACGAGAGGAAGTTCCTAATAACAAAAATTATAATAATCCTCAAGCCAGAGGAAGTTCCCAATCTACAAAGACTTTAGGGGTGATAAAACACATTTTAATGTCACCAACATAGGCAAATCTTGTCCATCAGGTAAGATGCATGCAAGAGAGTGGTCCTGTGATAGGACTGTAACAGGAAGGGGGTCCCATCCAGGTCTAGTATGCCATATTTTTACTCCTTTCCCTGTGGGGGTTACTGAAGGGTCTATATATAGTGCTACTGGACGTGCATGCACTGGCCATAATGATAAAACAAAACTCCCTGGTAAGATGCTCTTACCTTCTGGCTATTCAGGATATACTACTTTGACCTTTGGGGGCTACTCTGCTCTTATTCCAGGAATACACAGGAGGCCAGCTTCCAGGCCTTGTCCCCAAGGTGTCAGGAGAGCCAGCCATCATTGGTCCATGTGTTGAAAGGTCCAAGGCCATGTCCACTCAATGGAGTCTACGGGGTTCAGTGCAGTTGGTGCTGGCAGCAAGATGTTATTCTGGTGGCCAAACCTCAACTTCAGTGATTCTTCCTTGTTTTATACTTGCAGTTGTATAGGAGAGGCAGCCGTATGTGTTAACATGTCTAAAGGGCTTAGGGCTCCCTTTTGGGGTCTCTTGTTCAAATGCCATAGCACGGTCCATAAGTGGACTGACCATCCCCACAGACTATTGGTATCTGACTTTAGTCTGGATTTTAACAAGCCACTGTGTCTCTCTATCATGCCTGCTGCAGTAGGATTGTATGGCACATGAAACTTCCATTTGATTCCTGGCTTTTGCACCCATTCTTGCAGTGCATGTCCAGTAAAATGGGTGCCCTGATCACTCTCAATTACCTGTGGCCAGCCATAGGCAACAAAGAGATGCTCCAAGCCTCTTTTGGTCATCTGCTGGTCTGCACAACAGGTAGGAAAAGCAACCAGAAGTCCAGTAGCTGTGTCCACACAAGTCATCACATACTGATATCCTTCTGACACAGGTAGAGGCCCAATATAGTGTATCTGCCACCTGACGAGGGATATAGGTCCCTTAGCTATTGCTCCATGTTGCTGTGGAACTTGGTGTAAGTCCCTTTTGGAGCACATGACACACTCCTGCCGGGCTCTACTAACTTCTTTGAAGGTCAAAGGCAAGCCCCACTGATGGGCTACAGCCCACATTGTCTTTTGCCGTGCATGCAATGAACGCTGATGTAGCCATTGGGCTACATCAGAGGCAGGCTTTCCTTCTAACCAATGTATCTGGGCCACTTTATCTGCTTCATCATTTCCTGGGGATGCCAGTGGCAAATGACTGGTCACATGGTATACTGTAATTATTTTAGTCTGACCACAGGCCTATAAGTCTTGCCACAATTTGTGCCCACAAAAGGGTCAGTGACCAACCAGCCACTTGGCATGGTACCAGATTGGTAGCCACAGGCTCAAGCCCCGATAGACAGCCCAGCTGTCAGTGCAGGTAACTATAGGGAGGGCTCCTGGCTGATCACAAGCCACACAGCCCACAACTCTGCCCATTGGCTGCTCTTCCCCTCACCATCTTCCATCCATATTGTCTCAGTCTTAGGATGGAAAGATATGGCCCTCCATTTTTGGAGTTGCCCACAGCTGGAGCCATCTGTGTACCATGCATCTTTGGCTATAGGGGATCTTCCCTCTCAATAGGGACTCTCTGCTACTAATGGTTCAAAAGCAAGTTCTTCCTGCTTTTCACAAGTATATGTCACTGGTCCCAACAAGCATTGAAGTTCTTCACTCAAGGGGCTACTAGAGAGGGCACTACACTGCTGTAGGTAAGCACCCTACTTGGCTAGTGAGGGTGTTTGTGCCACACCACTCTTTGGCTTTTGGGTCCAGTCTTGTACCCACCTCAAGATGGGGTAGGTGGTTATTACCTTTATTGGGGCCATTCCAGTGATGGGTTCTATAGCTGGCAAGGCATGACACACAAAAGACAGTTGTTTTTCTATCAAAGTGTATTGTACCTCTGCCCCTTTCCAGAGTTGTGACCAGAATCCAACAGGTTGGTAAGTTTGTTCAAGCTGCTGCCAGAGACCCCAGCCATAACCATCCTCAGTGACATGAACGTCCATCACAATCAAGGCCTGCAGGCCTTGATTGCCTGTTTTGCTATAGTAAAGGCAGATGCACATGTCTCATCCCAGTCCCACCTGACACCCTTTCATACCAACCGGTAAAAGGGCTTCAGAACTTGCACCAAGTGAGGGATAAACACTCTCCAGCAGCCTAGAAGACCCAGAAACTCCTGTAGCAATGCTACAGTTGTGGGGGTAGGAAAGTCCTGGACTTTATCTATAACTGCTTCTGGTATAACGACCAGACAACCCCAAGAATTTGACAGACAAACCAGGTCTCTGAACCTTGGTGCTGTTCACAGCCCATCCTTTCTCCTGTAAATGTTACAGCAGTCTAGGTGCTGCACCTTCTAGATCTGAAAGAGAATCAGACGTGAGCATGACATCATCAATATAATGGTACAGCTGCACTGTTGGTGGTTTCTCCCATGTAGTCAAGTCCTGGGCTACAAGTCCATGACAGATGGTAGGGCTGTGGAGGTATCCCTGTGGAAGGATGGTGAAAGTCCATTGCCGTCCTTCCCATGTGAAGGCAAACTGTTCCTGACTTTCCTGCTCAATGTCAGTAGAAAAAAAGGCATTAGCAAGATCTACCACATAATGGTATGTTCCTAGTTCATGGCTGAGGGTATCCATCAAGCCTGCAATAGAGGGGAAAGTCCACGCATAGGGGGTATGACTTTATTCAGTTCTCTGTAATCCACAGTCATATGCCAGTAGCCATCTGGCTTTTTTACTGGCCACAGTGGGGAATTGAAAGGACTATGGGTGGGCTTTATAATACCCACCTTTTCCAGCTCCTGGAGAGTTTCTCCAATCTCTTTATGCCCTCCAGGCAGTTTGTATTGTTTGGTATTAGTCACCTGCCGAGGCACAGGCGAAGCTATGGGCGGGTGCCTAGCATGTCCCCTTAGAACTGCCTTCACCACATGTACTCTCAGTCTGAACTCACCTGCAGTACTCTGCAACCATAGACCCTGCAGGATTTCAATCCCCAAAATATACTCAGGAATAGGAGATATATACACAGTATACCCTTTTGGGGGTAGACGCCCTATTCCCAAAGGGATTTTGGCTTTTTTCACTCTGATAGCCTTCTGCCCATATCCATCTATGATAGTGGGGGTTCTGGGGAACTGCTCAGGGTTACCATGAATCAGTGAACATTCAGCCCCTGTGTCCACCAGAGCCAGGACACGTTGCATGTTCACTGGGGACCAATGGATAGCTATTTCAACATGTGGCCTCCAGTGCCCCCCTGGTCCCTCAGGGCAGATACCTTGACCTTCCCTTCAGTCAAACAGTGTTCCCCAATCACCTTCCTGTGTGGGCTCTTGTGAGGTTGGCTTGTTCTCCAGCAGGAAGTCTTGCAAACACACAGGCTGGACTCGTGGCTCTGTCTTTGACCTCTGCCTCTTTGGTCTTAATGGCTGGAACTGCTGCTCTGGTTTCAGCTGTTGCCACAGCTCTAGTAAGATCCTATTTGACTTCTCATTTAGTTTCTTCCCATCTGCTCCTGCCTGTATTAAATCAACCCACATCTGGGCCCTCATAACCTTCATGGG